TGCAGCGCCCCTGTATCCTGCGATAGTGCCTACCTTTCGTTATACGTGCAAGTCCTAGTAGCTTATGACAATAACAGGATGTATCTACGAGGGAAAACCATGAAATGACCCGAATTTTGCCAGAAACATTGCAATCATGTGAGCGAATAGATCGAAGAGGTCAGCCCAAAGAACTCGCCCACCTGCGAAACTTGTTTGGTGAGGACCTGAATACAAGCATTTGGTTTTGAGCTGTCTTGGCGCTACTATCGCTTCAGTCGTTATCCTGATTGCTACTTTTGACTAGAACTAAAACTTCTACTGCCAGCTTTTATCACGGGTAATTTCATTACAATTCCACACTGCTATTTATTACTACTCACCATCGAATGTCTTGTTCTTGACTTGCTTTTCTATGTGTCTTGTTGATTGTACAAAATGCTTTATACTGTCATGTGTTCATTTTCGACCTTAAGTACATAGAATGATCAAACGTTGAAGTTTAGAAGATATTAATTGAAGACTTTGAACAAATAAATAATATCTAAGTATCTAAATAGTGTTCATTTTATGCTTCGTGAGTTCATTTTACATTCAGCGGGCCTTTTAAAACCTCTGGTCAAACTTTTATTAGGCCAACGTTTCGGCGTCTTTGCCTTCGTTGGAACCTGAAATGGTCAAGAAAAATGAGACTTGCTCGCCCAAATGCTTTAACAATAAACAAGACCATTTCAGTAAACAAACCACCCAGTGGTTTTGGTCGATAGCAGCAGACCGGCTCGGTCTGAACTAATTTCCTCAGCACCATCAGTAAAATCAATTGAAAGCAGTATGTTTCTCAATACAACAGCCCGGCTATACTCTGTTTCACAGAAGCCTATGTTGACATGCGCGCGATAGCGGGCGGAGCAAAATTGGTGTAATTAAAGGCGCGAAAACAACAATGGCATAGACAATGCTGAGGAGGCAACAAGGCCACCCTAGAAGGAAAGCCTGGATCTTGGAGCTAACAAGAAAGGGTTTTCAGGTCGCCAGTTGTTCAACTTGGACGCTCTCACATGCCTCTTGAAAGTCAGATCTGTCTTCAAAGCACTCTAATTGTAACGGAGAAGTTTTGTAAACTTCATGTCAACAATCACTCCGCGTTTATTCTGGACTCCACTGTTTGGTCAACCTACCGTCAGCTAGCTAAGCTACATCGGAAATCCAGTTCTCTCTCGTTTTACCGTGATGGTTCTCGATCGTCTCTGCACAACGTCGATGCTCATGGTCAAGAATTTGATCTTTCTCCCGCTCAGCAGGAGCCCATTTGTCTGCCTGTACTCCCCTATTTTCTTCCGTGCTCTAGACTTCCTAGACTTCACCGTTTTCTGCTATAATAGTGATGTCATCGTCCACCGTCAGCGTAAAGGATCACCATCAGGTCCCCTCTGTGGGTAATTTACCATGACATCCAGGGTTAGCAGGAAATAGAACTGGTATTAGCGAATCTTCGTACTCTTGGAAGAAAAGGTTACAGTGGGCGAAAAACTCATTTTTTGTGAGCTCAAACCTCCACTGATCCAAAGGGGTCAATGTGATCAAACATGTATCTGCAGACGAATAGGATCGATACCAGGAATGTAAAATTAAGAAAGAAAAACCATTATAAACAAAATAATAGATACGGTTCGTTTCGCTCCTTCCTCAGACGAACCTTATTATTTCGTCAATCCCCGGAGCTCATCAGTGAGTTGGGATTGGCGAAATAAAGACACAGGGGAAAGACGAATAAACCTTGATGTAACGTACTTTCATGCAGAGGAGCATGCAATGAAATGAATTGTATATTGACTAAATGAATGAAAAAATAAGTTGATTAAAAATGTAAAACTATAAAGTGTAAAAGGTGGGTGTTTGTAATTGTTCCACTAACAATTAGATAGCACTTTAGTGACGAAGTATTCCTTCCACTAACTTACTAATATTTTTATAATTATTAGCAATTGAAAATTTGTAACATATAAACTTATTTTTATAAATTTTTTTTTTTTTTTTTTTGCTAACTAACATATATAGTTATAATAACAGTTCTTCATGTAACCATTATCCTGTACACTCTCATGAATCTGTTATTTTTATCAGTAAAGTCAAAAAAAACGGAAACAAGTGTTAGCTATTCTAAGTGTTTCAGTGTATATGACGGAACCTTTATTGTTTATGGAGATATTTGTGTCATTGTGTGGGAATCTGATGACCTTGAACTGAAAATCATCTGTTTTGTTATACAATCTAGTTACAACTCTGTCATTTATTATACTAATTGTTAGATCCAGATAATTACTAGATGTTTCACTTAAATGTGTTTTTTTCAATTCAAGTGTATTCATGTACACTTCTGCTAGATGTTTGTCAATATTATCCTCGGTTTGGTTATGTATTACTAGCAAATCATCCATATATCTGAATGGAATGAATAACTTATTTTTATTAAACTTACATCTTATTGCATAATTGTATTCCATAACGGAGAGGGTAAGATCAGCTAACAGTGGACTGAAATTACCTCCTTGTGGTACTCCTTTGTTTGTTTAAATATATATTTGCCAAATGTGCAATAACTGTTTTTTAGCAAATAATCTGTGAAATATATTAAATCAGCAGGTTTGTAATATCTATAGCTTTTAGTTGTTGATTCACCATCTGTATAGAAGACGTGATAGCCATTAGTGGCTATTAGCGACTTATTAGCATTCTTAAAGCAAATGCTTAAGATATGCTGTATGTTCCTAATGATGATGTTATGTTCTAAATTAGTGAACATGTCTGCGAAATCTGCTGTGTAGATTTTAAGATTTTCATATGTGATATTGTTAAGATCTTGACTTATATTAATGTTATTTATAGACCAATATGTTTTAATTGTTCTGTTTCTGTTTTGTATTACATTGACATAATTAACGAAGTGATTTTTTATGTGCGTGAAAATAATGTGTAATTCTTGTGCTAGAGGTTTTATGCTACTTTTATGGGCACCAGTAATATATCTAAACTTTATAGGATTTTTATGTAGTTTAGGTAACGCATATATAATAGGCAGATCCGCATCTGCAAATGTATTAATGTTATTTCTAACACAGAGGAACTTGTGTTTCAGTATCAACGAATACTTGTTATCGCATTGTACTGGTTCATAAGTATTGTTAGTGTTTTCATTAATATAGATGTGGTTGTTAATATCATATGTGATGCCCATTTCCTTCATTATAGTGAGCAAGTAGTATTTTTTGCAAATTATTCCATAATTATTGCTAGCTTTATCAAGGGGACAAAAGACGTAACTGTTTTGATAGCGTTTTATTAACTCGTACGGTATGTGTTCCCCTTTATTTCGAATGTTTTCACTTTTTAATAGTGGTTTTATTTTATCATGGTAACATGTGTGTAGATATTGTTGCAGAAGATCTACTTGTTGCGTGTTAGCCTTATACTTGCTTTTGAAATAAGAAATAGCTTTGTTGACTGTGTCTTCATATACTTGCTTGACTTCTGGTCTGGTTATGCCATTGTCCAATCTATATTTGGTTCCTTTACTCATGATTCTTTTAAGCTTCTCTTCTTTTATTATGTTCAGATCTCCTGTTACGATGTGTCCATGCTTATCATTTACATATTCTTGTACTGTGTCCTCTATACAAGCACAGTTTCGATTGATTATGTCTTCTAATTCTTCGTTGGTAAGATCTTTCAACACTCTGTTATAATTGCATATTCTACTTGCTACTGGATTATTGTACTTATATACGATTCTGATGGGTGTGTATTCGATTGTATTACTTCTATTCTTAAGCAATATATCTTTGACGGTGTGTGAGTTGAATATTCTGTTGAAGGGTATCTCGTTGAAAATCCTGCTTTTGAAGCTAACTTCTATATATTGTGGAAGTTCTTTTTTGACGCTTTGACATTAACTGTGTCAAAATGAAAATGAGCCAGTAGGCAGAATATGAGGTATCTTGTTTTGTTATTAACTGTTTCAAGAAAGTCTACTGACTTGGATAGATTCACTATCTTGTTGACTTCTTTTCTTCGTAGACTTTTGAGTAACCTGAAGTATTGCTTCGTAAAACTTAGATTCTTTGTCTCAACCGAGCAACTGATGCCGATTGAAATATCAGTTCTTACAATACATATAAGCTGACGAAGGAGAATAAGTTACATTTGAGAGCACTAGTAAGCAAAAATTAAATGTCGTTCATTAGCAATCAAAAGCATCGATTTTTTTGAGAATGTCGAGAACAATACCGTATCGTTAGGTGACTAATCAATAACCGTTTAGCAGCAATCGTCGTGCCTGCTTTGCATTGGTCACCCCAACACTGGTCTAATATAATTGCGACCATGCCATCGATAACTTAATCCACAAATTTATTCTACAATAATTTACTACGTACTCATCAGATCATCAGATCAGCAATCACAAACAGATCAGAATGGTATTTGGCAAGTGTCATTTCTCTGTTCCTACGTCTAAACAAAAAGAAAACTTGAGATTCACTGACTTGTGCAGAACAACCAGGTGTTGAATGAAACATTGGTCCAGGGAAGTGCTACCACTTTTCGAGTTTACTTGAAATTAGGAGGGTTACAGTTGCTTTCAGCCGTACACGTGCATAGACACACGAAGACTGTTCAATCCTAACCTTGACCTTACATGTCCTCAAACAATTCCGACATGCTTAATGACGCCCTTCTCATGCCTACTCAGAAATAACTACGGCATAATCAGTACAATATCCGCAACTAAACACAACTGCAACTGCACTGCTGGACAACAAAATTCCTTAATTCACGCACAACACCAACAATAACAAACTGGTATGAAACACAGCATGGCAAATTCGGCCTAGAACTACAAAAGCTCTCGCAATGCTTATGCGTAACCCACCTAGGTTTACCGTTTGCGCACACCTCACTGTTCTAAGGCTAGGTGCATTAAAGCACAGAAACAAACTCAAATGAGAAAACGTATGCATTTTTGATCAAAGTTCTTTCTTTGAAGACTTCTTTTTGAAACTGCATATCTTGTCAAACGCATATATGGGTAAAGTTACCAACAGTAGCCAATAATATAACGAGCTCCAGAACCTAAAATATAGAGAGCAAAGATTAGTATTATATCAGGAACAAGGCACCATTCCAAGAAAATGTACCTGTGCGTATCTCTGAAGTTTTTCAGAAGAAAGCCTGTTGCGAGCATGTCGAAGCCGCGAAAGCGGAAGGTGAAAAGGTATCTTAAAATGAGAAGGTGAAAAGGTATTTTAAAATGAACAAAGCGTCGAATACGAAACTTACAAGTATCGGAACCATGCCGGTCGTTTGTTAGTCACTGGATCAACTGAAATGTGCCTGAAAATTATGTCCTCCACACTTGCGCACATAGGAACGATCAGGAATGACCTAAAAACGAAAATTAATTGGAAATTGGAAATCTGATATGTCCGCTTGGTTTTGCTTGAAGCTCAACAACTTCTCTCCGCTCCCGTTTCAGTGAGTGCGAAATCTTCGAGCAATATGACCCTTTCACTTCTTCAGGTTGTAAGGCCCGTACTTGCATTTACATCCCCTGCAAGGAGGCAGAGCACAGAGGAGCACTTCAGAATTAGGACGATCAGTAGGAGGAACGATGTGCTTTTCTCTCTTTACGAATTGTTCTCGAGAGTAACTCAATTCTAGTTAGTATTGGGAAAGAATTCACTGTGACAGGGTGGCCACTATGATGACTGGTAATTTCACGCGAACTTAAGAAAGGATTGATGAATCGTGTCTTTTTCCTCAAAATCTCTCCAGTTTGGTATTTGCAGGGTAGACTCTACTCACATAAAATATCCCGCGTAGGTACCATGCCACAAAGCCGACACAAACATTGTTAATTCCACTCTGAAATTCAGATGAACATTAACACTTGTGACGGTTTTAGACAGTCGAGCTCTAAGATATAGTCAAGCTGTAGAACACCTGTACATGCGATCTGCCCTGGAGTGAACATAAAGAGCCAACCAACTTTGCACGGATTTGTTCCACGAACGTATGCCACCACGGAAGCTTTCTCCCAATTCGATCTAAAAACGAGGCGATTTTCTATGGGTTTGTTCCTTCAGAAATGAATAAAAAATTCACTTGATTTTTTTTGTGAGACACAAGTGCATACTAGACACTACGCACATGTCGATTTCACTGATATTCTAGAATAGTAGTAGGAGGCTCCCCCACTTTCTTCACGATTTGGGGCGCGGCCGCGGCAAACCCGCGGCGTTCGCGGCCGAGTGGTGCGGCATCAGCTTGCCTGAGAATTCGACGTTACAGGCTCCCCCACTTTCTTCACGATTTGGGGCGCGGCCGCGGCAAACCCGGCCGAGTATGCGCCATCAGCTTACCTGAGTATTCGACGTTACATTACGTATCGCAATGTAACGTCGAATACTCAGGTAAGCTGATGGCGCATACTCGGCCGGGTTTGCCGCGGCCGCGCCCCAAATCGTGAAGAAAGTGGGGGAGCCTCCTACTACTATTCTAGAATATCAGTGAAATCGACATGTGCGTAGTGTCTAGTATGCACTTGTGTCTCACAAAAAAAATCAAGTGAATTTTTTATTCATTTCTGAAGGAACAAACCCATAGAAAATCGCCTCGTTTTTAGATCGAATTGGGAGAAAGCTTCCGTGGTGGCATACGTTCGTGGAACAAATCCGTGCAAAGTTGGTTGGCTCTTTATGTTCACTCCAGGGCAGATCGCATGTACAGGTGTTCTACAGCTTGACTATATCTTAGAGCTCGACTGTCTAAAACC